GGGAAATTGAACACAAAAGTTCAGAGATTATGGTAAAACATCTGGAGTTCTGTGGACAGGGCTGGTCTCCTTCATTAAGGAGAGATGTAAATGCACCGTAAACAGCTCAGAGAAAGTTTACTAATGTCAGATATGGGCAGATTGTCTTATGAGGAAAGATTAGACAGGCAAGGCTTGTATTCACTGGAGTTAAGAGTAAGAGGTGACGTGATTCAAGCATATAAAGTCCTGAGAGGATGAATTTAAAAATGATATTTCCTTGTGTGGGACAAATTAGAACTGGGGTCATTGTTTTAAGATAAAGGGTCACCCATTTATGCCAGAGATGAGGTGCTTTTTTTTCTCTTAAAGTCATATGTTTTTAAAAATTCGTTCCTGGAGCATAGACATCACTAGCTGGGCCTGCATTTATTGCCCATCCCTAGTTGCCCTGGAGAAAAGTAGTAGTGAGCTGCCTTCTTTAACCACAGCAGGCCATTGGTGTAGGTCCTCCCACATGCTGTTTGCACTTGACCAAGAAACAATGAGGTATTTCCAAGTCAGGATGTTCAGTGGCTTGAAGCGGAATTTGCAGGTGGCAGTGTTCCCATGTATCTTCTGCCCTTGTCATTCCAGATGGTGGTAGTGGCATTCATTAGAATCCCTACAGTCACAATTGGCCATTTGGCCCATCAAGTCTGCACCAGTCTTCTGAAGAACATTCCACCAAGACTCACCTCATCAATTCTGCATGGAGTATTTTTTTTACCATGGCTAACCCAACCTACACATCTTTGGGGTGTGGGAGGAAACCGGAGCACATGGCAGAAACCCACGCAGACACAGGGTCAACTACCAGATGTGCTAACCATTGAGCTACCCATTGTCTAAGGAGATTTAGAAAATTTCTGTATCCTGAGATGTGCTATTGAGGTGAAAACAGAATGTTTGTGGACATGGTGCCAATCTAGCAGGCTGCTTTGCCCTGAATGGCATCAATTCTGTTTTGCTGGAAGTCTTTGGAATTCTGTTCTTCAAAAGGCAGAGGAAGCAAGGTCTTTTGATATTTTTAAGGCAGAGATAGAAAGATTCTTGATAAGCAAGGGGATGAAAGGTAGGTGGGGATGTGGAATGATCAAGTCTGCCATGATCTTATTGAATGGTGGAGCATGCTCCAGGGTTTCAATGTCCTTCTCCTGCTCCCAATTCAAACCCATAACTATGATAGTGATTCAAATATTAGCAATAAATTGGGCCTTTATTTTTCAGAGGCATGGTAGCTCAGTGGTTAGCACTGCTGCCTCACAGTACCAGGGATGCGGGTTCCATTTCAGCCTTGGGGGGAATGTCTGTATGGAGTTTGCATATTGTACCTGTGTGGGTTTCTGCTAGGCGGTCCAGTTTCCTCCCACAGTCCAAAGATGTGCAGATGGGTGGATTAACTATGCTAAAATTGCCCACAGTATCCAGGAATGTGCAGGCTAGATGGATTATCCATGGTAGGGTTATAGAGATAGGATGAGGGTCTAGGTGGGATGGTCTTCGGAGGGTTGGTGCAGATTCAATGGGCTGAATAGCCTCTTTACACACTGTAGGATTTCAATGAGAATAAATCTAGAAATACCTAATAAGAATTGATATGTATAGCATTAGACCACCTCAGTAGAGAAACTGTTTTCCTTCTCTCTCTGGAAATATAAACATCAGGAAGCAGGAATATGCAGAAGTATGGCGTCGGGAGGGGGGCCGAGATGGAGCTGGTGAAGGACCCTCTGGTGTGATCAGAAAAGCAGCCAGAACTTTGCACAGCTCGCTATGCCTTGACGAGGTTGAAGCTGCTGGGGGAGAGAACATCGATTTGCATCATGTCCTCGGCAACTTTAAAGAGGACTTCACTAAATGCCCAAGTGTACTCACACAGCGATCACAAGACTGTTACTGTGACAGTATATCTTACACTCAAGCAGGGTGTCGTTCGCAAACGTCAAACATTCAAAATTTGGATTTCAGAAAGAAGCTCAAAACCGTTGGAAAAGTGGACAGTAATCTAAAAGGCTGCATGTTTTAAAGTTTGGCTTCAATTTTGAACGAAAATGTAGGGATTCAAAATGTAAATGCTACTCTTTGTTTTTCCAAATATAAAGATGAGCCTAATGCCTTGAAGAGGATTTTGGCAGAAATCCAGTTTGAACTCAGAACTACAAACAAGGAGAAATTAGCCCTTTTCCCTAGCAAGTTAAGAATTCATACAAGTGAAATACGTCTTTTTGCCTTGAGCCAAGGCTATGGGCCAACTGCTGGAACATGGAATTCGTACAGTCAAGTGGTCATTTTTGACTGGCGCAGACTCAATGGGCCCAATGGCCCTTTCTTGTGCTGTAGACTTCTATGATTCTATGACCAGACTGGATCTTGAGCGTTTTTTTTACAGGTAACTGCAAGTGAAACAAGACTTCCACCAACTTTAAGAATTTAATCAGACCTTGGAGATACAATGAGAAATAAATCCTTTCCGAGGAGAGCTGTTTTATCACAATTTCTGTATTTTTAAATTAATATTTGGGACATTGCTAAATCTTAAGATTCTAAACTTATATATGTGATTGGATATTGTTAACTCTTTGGGCTTTGAACTAGAACTACAGTGGATTTTGCTTCTGTTTTCTTTAAAGGTATCCAGAGCTACTAGAACGCCTCATCGAATCTTGTAGACTGGTTCTACTGATACCACAGCAAGGGACACAGGAGTCTTGCAAATTCAATAACTTACCTTCAGACCTTCATTTGGACTGAAGACTTTGCTTTTTAGCGACTTGGCTTTAATCAGTTGATGGTCTTCTGAGACAATCATTGCACTTTCCAAAATTGGTTGTGACATTTAACAAGTTATGACATTAAAGTTAATTCAGTTTACTCCTTGCACAAAGGTGAGGAAGTGTCATTTATGTTCAAATGACATCACACCTGCTATTTTGGCAGTGTGACATTTGGTTTCTAATTGATGTTTGGTGCCACATTCCTTTTGTATGGTCTTGCAACTCTGGAGTTGGGACATCTAAAATGATGACCCACGGTAAGTAATCTTCACTCATAGCTGTGGGTAGCTGGACCCCAATAATGTACATTGATGGGGCTGTAATCAAGTTGAAATCCACTTCATTGTATTTTTCTTCAGAGCTGTTATGGTGCAGTGGTAGTGCCCTACATCTGGCCCAGAAGGTCTGGCATCAAGTCCCATCTGCCCTGGATGTGCCATAACACGTATGAATGGTTGATTAAAATCTTTCCTCATGCTGTTGAGTTAACTTTTTTTTGTGAAAACAACATACAACTTAGGCTTCGTAATCATACATAAAGACTTTGATTATGTTTTATTGATAAGAAATGTAAACAATCTGAATCATTCATTATGCTCTGTGTGTAAGGAGACTGTTTTCAACTCTTTCATATCATCACTTACCACCAACTGCCCAAACCATAAGCATTAATTCTCCCATACTTTCATCATTTACATCTTATCCTGCCTTCTCATAAACACCTTGAATTCTAAGCTTGTTTTCCTCTCCTGTTTGCAGGCGTCATGCCACAATCTGATTAGATTTTTATTTGTTAATGTCTTGAATGTAAACATGTGGTAATCAAAAATAGAATATGAATCTGGGTTGCATAATTAGCAAGTGAAAAGACTTTATGGGCTTAAGAACATAAGATATAGGAGCAGAATTAGGCCAATCAGCCCACTGAGTCTGCCCCAGCATTTGATCCCGGTTGATATGTTTCTCAACCTCATTCACCTTCCTTCTCCCTGTAACCCTTGATCCCCTTATCAATTAAGAGCCTATGTCTGTCTTAAACACACTCAATGATTTGCCCTCCACAGCCCTCTGCCACAATGAGTTCCACAGATTAACCATTCTCTGGCTGAGGAAATTCATCCTCATCTCAGTTCACTCTGAGGCTGTGCCCTTGGCTCCCAGTCTCTCCTACTAGTGGAAACATCTTCTCCATGTGCCCTCTATTGGGCCTTCTCAGTATCCTTAATCCGGCTTGGAAATAAGCCTGAGTATACTCCAGGATACAGTTATCATGGTAAATTAAGAGATCCACAATAAAGAGCAAAAGAATCATTGGGAAGGCACTAAATGGGGATTGTAACTGAAACATGGGAACATTTTCTTTGAATTATGAATTAGTGTTTATCTGTTAATCTAAAGATTTGAGCCAATAGTTACGAAGACGCTTGGGCTTTTTTTGATTACTATTGCTTTGAGCATCCATACCGATCTACAGCAATTCAATCTATGCGTTAAATACCCTTTTGCTTATACCAATCAAGTTCATTCATTGAAGACACCACATAAACAATCCCTAAATTGCTTCATCTTCCTACTTCAAACTGTCCTTGTTCAAGTGACCTGACTGAGGGCCAACAGCCTCTACTCCTAACCAATTATGTTCATATTGATAAACCACGGTCAAAAAAAGTCTCCCCAAATGCGACAGCAATAAGCAAAAACAAAAATTTAAACCTTACAGCCTACACTCCCAGTTCTGTCTACTTGTATTCCACAACTCACCCATCTCCTGGTTCCATTGACCATCTCCTATATCTCTCCACGTGATCTCCAATCCTGTTTATAACTACATAAGCATCTGACACTTTTTTAGGGTGTCAAGTACATTGGCTGAGAATCTGTTATACATCCATTAATCTCTTTGGTTACAAACACAAATACAATACTGTGTAGGATATGATGGTTCCAAGAATGTTGGTACAATGGAATTGTCTGGCCAATGTGAATGTGTGATGAGATGGACATTCTGCAGATATGTCTTTGGTGGCTGCCAAACCTATTGAGAACCTTTTCCCCAACATCGGAAATAGCTTTGGGAGAGATCATTGTGGAGTATGTTATACACTGTAGTGGGCTGCACAGACTTTTTTTAATCCATGTTCTTTTATGTTCTGTTGCCATTAATATTCACACGCATAGCTGGTGATTATATTTTTTAAAAGACAATTTTGATTGGCAGTCTCCATATTTAATAAAAAATGGTCTTTATCCAACATGTTGTTTCTACACAGTTTGTAACATATTTGGGATTGTTGACACAATATACACAAGTCTTTACACCATTAACCCAATTCTTCTTGTCAATAATTGTCATTTTTGAGTGTCAGGTCTGGCTCCATTGGTTACTGTCACCTTGCGTTCAAGTGTCACTCCAGAGCTTTAACAAAATATCGAAAATTACAGTACTGAGGGTGTGCTGCATAATCAAACGTGTCATCTGTTAGAAGTGACATTAAACTGACGTCCAATTCAATCTCTTAGATCGATGTGAAAGATCCAATAGCAGCTGAGAAGGAAGTTCTTCCTGGTGACATAGCCAATATTTTTCCCTCAATCAACACCACAAAAGTACAGATTATTTGGCCATTATCACATTGCTGTTTGTGGGGCAAGGCTGAGCACAAATTAGCTGCCACATTTCCAACATTACAACGGTGGCCGCACTTCAAAAATACTTAGCTGTAAAGCAGTTCAAGACTTCTGGAGATTGTGAAAAATGCAATTTAAATGCAAGTCTTTTTTTCCCCCATTTCTCAGCTGCTTTGGAGCCTAAAGTCTGTTCCAAGATACTGTACCAAACCCACAGACCCATCCACAATCACTGAATTACGCTTTCTTCCACTTCAAGATCTGTAGAGCAAAACAAAAGGCAGCACAGTTACCATGACAATTCATGATTAAGCCTCTGGGAGCCCTCAAGATTTGGTTGCCAGAGCAACGCATTCATTGACATCTGTTTAAGACTCACAGCTGTAACATCTGGCATGCTTAACAGTGCCTGGACTGCTGGCAAACCTCAAACTCTATTAACATGCAAGACACATGAACAGTTTTGCACATGAACAGTGCTGAGTTTGTTGTCTAATCAGCGGTTTCATTGGAGAGGTTGCGAGCAAACCACTTTATATGAATCAGTCTGTAGAAGAACAGAATAACATACAATCGAAACCTTGCTGTCCCTTTCCTCAAAACAAGAGGATAATTTGTAGGATGGCACATGAACAAATCAAAAGATCTGCCAAAAAAAATTCCGTCATGTTCTTACTGTACCCCGTTTTGGGAAAGCAGTAAAAATGATAAATCACCAACTCTCTTAAAAGGAGAACCTTTTTTTTGATCATGTGGCCTTATGATGTTTTAAAACCTTTCTGTTAACTTTTCCCTTATTAAATTGCTTTGGTTATATATTACTCATGTAAAAGTATTTCTCTGTCCTCATTGATAAGAGCTGACCCTTGCTGAGATTCTCCTCCACAAAAATTGGCACTGAAGCTCTGTTTCTATTGAATGTAGTACCTTGTCCAAGGCAGCAATTTTTCAAGGTCTCAACATCATTTTTATAACATGGAGATCATAACTGCACAGACTGCTCAATGTGGCTTCTAGGAAGGCAGTGAACTAAGTTTATTAAAAACTTTTGAACAGTGATGGATTCTGTTGTATGTTGCAGTACCCACCACTTTATGGTCAGGGTAGAGTGCTATCTACATTACTTTTAATCAAACTATTTGTACCCTTAGGGTGTGGCATTGGCACATTCTCACCATTTCTGCGTGGGTTTCCTCTGGGTGCTCAGGTTTCCTCCCACAGTCCAAAGATGCGCAGGTTAGGTAGATTAGCCATGCTAAATTGCCCATAGTGTTTAGGGACATGCAGGCTAGGTGGGTGAGCCATGGGGAATGTGGGGTTACACGGATAGAATAAAGGGTGGTCTGGGTGGGATGCTTTTCTGAGGTTTGGTATGGACTCGATGTGTTGAATGGTTTGCTTCCACACTGTAAGAATTCTGTGATTCTATGAAGTGTGGTCTAACCAAGGTTTATGGTTTAACATAACTTTGCTACTTTTAAAATCTAATGATTTGTATCACTGTGCCTCCAGACTCCTTAGCTCCTCCGTCCATTTAGTCTCTCATTATCAAAAGTGTACCTGCTTTGTTCTTTTGACCAAAAAGTGCCACTTCATTTAAATACATTCAATTTTATTCACCACTTACATGCCCGTTCTGCACATTTATTAATGTCTAATGTTTTATATTAGCTCAAACACAAGGGCAAAGGGACACGGATTCAAGTTAGATTAGAAAAGGTGAATAGATCACAAAGATAAACTTTCTTCAAATAAAATGTAATTATATTAAACAGTCTTCTAGGAAGGCTGTGAAGTAAGGTTGTTTTAAAAATGCAAAACAGTGATGGATTCTGTCGTACGTTGCAGTACCAGCCACTGGTCATTTATGGTTGGGGTAGCGTGCTATCACCAATCCTCCTTTCCACATCGTTTTTAATTAAACTATTCAGACATGTTATGACACACCTCTGGAACTTGAACATGGATCTCTGGGAAAGATGTAGGGACGCTACCACCACATGTCAAGAAGCCACTAATTATATATTTTTGGAAATCTAATGATCTATCTGTTTAGGAATCTTAACAGAAAGAAACACATGGCCTACTCCACAAGATATAGTTTTGACATAATAGCAATAGGTACAAGTTACATCAACTAGTTAGTAATAATTACAAAGACATCAGGTTTGTCTCTACTGGGACCTCATGCTAGACTTCTCAATCCTCCATCCGGCACTGTGACATCATCAGATTGGGTGGAGCCTAATGGATTCTCCAACATTAACCCTTTCAATGCCATTACCACACACAGCAGATTCATGAGAAATACAGTGAAGTAAAAAGTTCGCGACATTTGGGATCAGCTTCGTGAACAGAAATCATCTTTCCAATCTGGTATAGTCCTACAACAATTATAAGGTAAAAGAGAGATAGGAAGGGCGATTTACCAGGCTGTTTTCAGAATCAGTATCACTTTTCATTGGAGACCATTTAATGGACAGCGCAAGTATGAGAGTGAGAGAATGTTAGTGTGCACATTCATAACCTATGTATTCATGTCTGTGTGTGGACAAATGTTCGTATGTTTCTGTGCATGTAATGTATCGTGTGAATCACCACTGATGTCAGGTACAAAGCCTGTCTGAACATGTTTGAGTGACAGTTATATTGGTGTGCCTATACCTATATAAGTGTGCAACTAACCTTGTAAAACATATGTGAGACAGAATATATATGTATGTATACACACACACACACATACATGAAAATCTGTATTATGTGTTTAAGTATATAAATGTGCTTGAAAATGAGTAGCTGTATGTGTGATGATGTGCATTTATATATGCCTCTCCATATATCTGGTTTTTATTTGTACTGCATTAGCGTGTCTCTGACCGAGTGTATGCAAATGTGTGAGAGTGAGTAAGGATCGTATGAGTATGCATGTAAACGAATGTGGTTAAAATGATTGCAAGTTATTATTTAAGTTAATAGTTCTGGAGGGGTTAATGTTCATATTACATTGGCTCCACCATTCGACGAATGTCACACACAGTCTGTGGGTGCAGACAAGGTGTTCTGCTCTAGCTTTTAGAAGGAGCAGATGTATCTGTACCAGTTCCGTAAGGTCCAAATAATTAGGCCTGACCAAATGTTGTTGTACTTACTTATATTATGACATAAATATTCTTGTCATCTAAGAACAGTGCCTCTTCTGTAGATGATGATTAAGATGGTGCATCATGAAGCAAAGGCAAAACAGGATTGGTGGCAGTGAAATACCTAACCTTCATCCAGTATCACAAAATGGTAGAGGCAACAAATGCGTGGTGCTAACAACAATCATCTGGTTAAAAAAGTTTTAATGGGTGCAAGTGTAAATAGTGTGAGTGCAAACGGATGAGAGTTAAATGAGCTTGCTGATTGTGCTAAGACTTGACTTACATACAAAAAGAAGAAATCACACAGTCATCACCTTTCTAATGTTCTAATTTCTTACCCTTTGTGTTGTATTCCACATTCTTCAAAAACAGGCCATCAGGTGGGGCTATAATATTTGGTGGATAAGCCCTGGAATCCTGCATCTCGAGCAGATCAGCAATATGTCGGGGCATTAGCTTGCCCTGCCCCACTGCTACCAGAGCCCCTGTCATTCTCCTCACCTGGAACAAAAGCATGTTAAAAACATTTTTCTACTATGATTATTATCACTTGTTACGAACTCCATCACGGTGGAGCATTATTATTAGTTTCCTTTTCATTTATCAGTTAGAGATTTTTTATTCTGTTTGCGGTCTACATTCTTCTAGAAACCATCTTTGGCAGTCAAGGTGATGACCTTTACTTATACGTCCTTCAGTAGATTCTGTAAGCGGCCATCAGACAGCAAGTTAAAGCAAATAAAAACCGAAAGAACTGCAGATGCTGTAAATCAGGAACTAAAACAGAAGTTGTTGGAAGCTCAACAGGTCTGGCAGCAACTGTGAATAAAAAGTCAGAGTTAACGTTTCAGGTCCGGTGACCCTTCCTCAGAACTGTACTGAGGAAGGGTCACAGATGCTGCTAGATCTGCTGAGCTTCCAGCAACTTCTGTTTTAGTAGCAAGTTAAAGCAACCCACGGCAAGCCCTTCATTTTAATCAAGCAATAGAAGCCTCCAATAGATGGAATTACACCAACATCTGACTGCACTATTAACCACGTCATCCAATGTTAGTCTGAAGCACTAACAATGATAACAGTATTCTGTCTTAATACCCTGATGTAATGCAGAAATTTGTTGCCCAGAGCTAGTTTCTGGTTATGACTTGTGAAATTTAACAATAATGGAAATTAAGATGGAATGAGACAAAATAATGGTTGTGATCATTCTGATAAACAGTACAAATTAATAAATTTAGCAGCTCAAAATGCTGCAGCTGGGATTAATTTCTAGTTGTCTGATTTTGACTTACAGTGCCATATCCCTTTCAATATAGTCTATATTGGGTTTGTGTGAAAGGATCTTTAATCCCATAAGGAAATACAGTACTGCCTTCGCAAATTTCAGATGTCATAAGACTAACAACTGAAGTAACTTCACATTGTTACGTTAAATTAATCAACGATTTATTTGAATGGAGGAAACATCAACCACAAAACTGGACTGTACCAGCTGAAATGGGTACATTAGCAATTTGAATTTAAATAGCACGTTTCAATCAAATGAAACAATTCAAAGTGCTTCTCAGGAATGTTACCAAACAAAATTTGGTACCAAGTCATATAGGGAATGTATGGTTGAAAGTATTGTCAAAAATGTTGGCTGCAAGGAGCACCTTGAGGAAGGCAGGAGACATTTAAGGAGGGAATTTCAGAGTCTAGGGCTTTGCAGCTGCCAATGTTGTGGGTATTAAAATAGGGTTGTACAAGAGGCTAGAACCAGAAGAATGGAGAGTTCTTGGTAGCACATAGATCACAGAGAAAGGGAGGACTAAGACAATGAAGGGAATTTGAAAACAGGATGGTAAATTGAAATTGAGGCATTGCTGGAGTGGAGGATAGAGTAGGTCATTGACCTAGGGTTGCTGGGACATGGTATGAATCAGTAGTGAGGCAGCAGAGTATTGGATTAGCTCAAGTTAATGGAGAGTGGGAGATTGAAAGCCAAGCAGGAAATTGTTAAAATTGTCAACTCTAGAGCTAATAAACGATGTGGGTGTCAATAACAGTTGAGCAGAATTGATGTATGCAATGGAGGTGAAAATAAGCAGTCTTAATGATAATTCTTGCAAGTGAGACACACCATCAAGTTTATGAGTGATCTGATTCAACCTCAAACAGCACCCTGGGCTGGAATGCTGTCAATAGTCAGGGGTTGGAATTTATGGCCAAGGGCAAGGACTTCAGTCTTCCCAACATTTATTTGCCAATTAATCAACAATGCTGCATCAGCATTACAGAATAAGTAGAGATTCAAGTGTAAACAATGTCAGACCAGTTTGTTGCAATGGCTGAATTGTGAACTGCGAAACCACAATGATACACAAGCCTGACAATTCTATGTTTACTGGCATCTTGGGTACGAATTTCAAGCAATAGAAGCCTCCAATAGATGGAATTACACCAACATCTAACTGCACTATTAACCACGTCATCCAATGTTGATGAGGTTTATAAGAGTTTGTAACTTAGATCAGTGTGGGTTTGCTCAACGGAAATATTAGCATCACATTGTACTGAAAATATCTTCCTTTGAGTGTGTCAGTGGAACAGTGTGGTGGCACTGACAGCAAAGGCCAGGCCCTTTCATCAGTATATGACAGAGTATCAGACCGGTGGGATATGAGGGTACATTTTCCATTGAGAATATCGGGGAGACTGGAATCCCATGACATAAAAGGTGCTACAGAAATATAAATTTCTTTTTTTTGGATTGTTGTTGCTGGAACAATTGGAAGTTGTTGGAAATTGTGCTTTTCCCTGTTTCTCTCTCCACTGATATTGTTAGACCGGCTGAGTTTCTTTAGCACTTCTGTTTTTACAACAATGATGATCAGTTAATCTGTATTTGATGGAAGCATAAGAACTAGGAGAAGTAGACAATATAGTGCTTGACCCTGCTGCATCATTCAATATGATCCTGGCTGACCTTTGACCTCACTGTCACTTTGCTACCCACTCCCCATTTTCCTTCATTTGCTGAAGCAGCACAACTGTTATATCTCAGCCTGGAATATACGCAACACTAGAATATCCTCGAGCCTCAGGGATAGGGAATTCCAAATATTTGCAAACCTCTAAGTGAAGACATTTCTTCTTATCCCTGTCCTAAGTGATTAACTCTTTATGCTGAGACTATGCCGCTTTTGTGTAGATTTCTCAGCCAAGGAAAACAACCTCTTGGTGCCAACCCTATCAGGCTGCTTCAGAATCTTTGTTTCAATCATCCCATATTTTTCTAAACTCTACATGCCTATCTTACTTAGCTTATCATCACAGAACAATCTTCTATTTATTTAATCCAGTCATTCATTTATTCATCTTAGTCCAAGGACATCTCTGCAGAGTTTTTCAGCTGCTTCATCAACAACTTTCAATCCATCATAAAGTCAGACATGGCGATGTTCGCTGATGAGTGCACAATGATCAGCATCAGTTGTGATTCCTCAGATATTGAACCAGTCTGCACCCATATACAACAAGGCCTGGATAACATCCAAGCATGGTGACAGAAATGGAAAATAACATTTGCTCCAAACAAATACCAGGCAATGACCGTCTACAACAAGAGAGAATCTGATCTCATCCCTCGATACGCTAACATTGCTGAATTCCCCACTATGAATATTCTGAGGGTTACCATTGACTGGAAACTGAACTGGATCAACCACATATATAGTGTGGCTGTAACAGGAGATCAGAAGCTAGTAATCCTGTGGTGAGTAATTCACCTCCTGTCTTCCCAATGTCTGTCCATCATCTACAAGGCACAAGTAAGAAGTGTAATGGAATACTTCCCACTTGTCTGGATCATTGCAACGTCAACAACACTTAAGAAGCTCGACACTATCCAGGTCAAAGCAATCTGCTTGATTTGCACGCCATTCTCAACACCATCTTCAACCTTCACTTGCTTCACCACTGTAGCATAGTGGCAGCAATGTGTACCATTTCGAAGCTGTACTGCAGTAACTTGCCAAGGCTCCTCAAACAACAGCTTCCAGACCTTTGATATCTACCATCTAGAAGGTCATGGGCAGAGATGCATGGAAACATCATTACCTGTAAGCTCTCTTTCAAGGCACACACCATCCTGACTTGGAAACAAATATTCATTTCTTCAATATCATTAGGGCAAAATTCTGGAAATCCCTTCCTGAAACCCTCTCCCACAAGAACAGTGACATTTCAAAAAGGCAGCTCACTACTATCCTTTCCAGCGCAAAAAAGAATGGGCAATCAATGCTAGCTTAGCTGGTGAGAGATATTAGGAACTGCAGATGCTGGAGAATCTGCGATAACAA